CCTGCTCATTCATGGCCACCTAGAGAAATATTTCCTTAGTTTAGCCATCTAGGCCCTCACAGGATGCTGCAGCCATGTTCCAAGGGGGTTGGGTTACTGGTTGAGCTGACAGCAGACCTTGTGCTGGCTTTTTAGGCATGTAGAATGCAAGAGTTATTAGGTTACAGAGGCTTCCACCCAGATTTCAAAAGAAAGCTAGGAGGTTAGACAAAAATGTGTGACAGGGCCACAGTTCCTGCCAGGAGCTCTGAGAGAGTAATGTTTAAAGCAATGAGCGTTAAGCCAAAGATACACTGGAGACCTCAGGGAGTTGGAGATTCCAGGAATGGGAAATGTCTGCTGAAGAAAACCACAGGCAGTGAGTGGAGCCAGCCCAGGAGAGAAGCTATGCTGGCTGCAACCAGCAAGGCCACAGGGGTAGGGATGTCCAAGGTCTTTGAAGTTCATATCATCTCACCACAACCTGCCCAGGGTGCTGAGTATGAAGCTATAGGATTTCATGTTTGCTTTAATGGGGTTTGCTTTTCATTTGGTCTGATTCCTGCTTTCCTACTCTTCCCTTTTGGAGTAGAAATATTTATCTGGTGTCATTATATATTAGAAGTACTAGCTTTATTGTTAATTTTTACATGGACTCACAGCTAAGAGTTTGAATTGAGTCTCAAAGGAGACTTGGGCTTTGGATTTTTTAGTAATACTGATATGGTTAAGAGTCGGACTAAATGCATGTTACATAGTAAGATGAACACGAACCTTTTGGGGGCCAAAGGTAGGATGTTATGGTTTAGATCTAAAACACCCCCCACAGTCTCATGTATTTGGAAGTGAGGCCTGGTCGAAGAGGTAGGTGACTGAAGTGTGACTTGGAAGGGTATATCTTGTCCCTAGCTCCTCCTTTCCCTCTTTGCTTCCTGGCTGCCATAGGGATGAGCAGTTGTCCTTTTCCAGGTTCTTCATGCCACTTCTGCCTTGAAGCCAGTCAACTTTGGACTTAGCCCATTGGAATTGTGAGCCAAAATGAATCTCTCTAAGTTGTGGGTATTGGATATTTTGTCCCAGCAGTGGGAGCATTACTAAAACACCTGCATTCAGTACCTGAGGAACTTATAATACTATTACAGTTATTTTAACAAAGGCATTTATTTACCGCTTACTGTGGTTAAGAGACTGTGTTGAACATTGTGTGTGCTCTCACTGAGGCTCCAAAACAGCTCTGTGAAGGAGATGTGATTTTTTTTTTTTTCAGATGAAGATGACACAGAGCTACAGTGACTTAAGCTCCCGTAACTGCCTGTGTTGGACCAGGAGTTTATTTAACTCCAGAACTTGTATTCCTAACCATCTGTCCTTAGTTTTGTTTTTTATTATTATTTTTATTATATTTTTTTTTGAGACAGTCTTTCACTGTAACACAGGCTGCCCTTGAACTCATGGCGATCCCCTTGTTTCAGCCTCATGAGTACTAGGATTTCAGGTGTGCACCATCCTGCCCAGCCTGTCCTTCATTTTATTGTATTTTTATTTTTTGAGGAGACAATGAAACTTTTTTATTGTGAGACCAAACCACTAAGAAAATATATCACAGGCTCGACATAGCAGACAGGTTATATTATCATTCATTTCAAGTAATAAATTGGTAAAAAGACAACACATCCCTTAACCAAAAGATAAGGTGCCCTGCTGGGGCAGGAACACTATGTTGTAAAGGCCCCAGGCAAAAATGGTATTTGGTAAAGGAGTCACAGCTCAGATTGCTTACTTTCTGACCTTCCTGTTGCCAGGAGATTATCTCAATAAGGCGCTGTAATTTAGGAGGGTACAAAAACAGTGCTGGGTTTAGGCTTTTATTCCATCCTGTTCTATAAAAGCCACTTTCTTCAGTACTTCCCAACTGTCTTAACTAACCAACAGTTCCTATTTTAGTTTATCAGAGTCAAAAGTCTTTACCCTTCAAGGGAAAAATGTCACTGCAAGATTGTCCTGTTAACTGCCACAAAAAGCACAAGGACCTATCAGCCAGTGAAGGAATACTTTTCCATATAGTGTGTGACACTGACTGTTGTTTTTGGCAATCATTTCCAGATTGAAAGACACAGTGTAAGAATATCAAGACATGCAAATCCATATCTTGATAGTTAGAAGAGGACATACACAAGGAGCCTTTCACAGTTCTTAGCTACTGTCTCAACTCCATATCTTAAATCCACTTCATGCCCTTTCATATAAAAACAACCAAGCAAAATGAAGGTATGGGCCCCATCCCCACAACTCTTTTGAGACAGGGTCTTGCTGTGTAGTCTGGGTTTATCTTGAACTCACTATTTAGCTCAGGCTGGCCTCAAACTCATGGAAATCCTCATGCCTCAGCCTCCCAAATGCTGGGATTGCAGGAGTGTGAATTAGTTATCTGAATTTTGTTTTATGGCTTAGTACAAAATAGTGTGGTGATATTTCTGGCAAATAGGAAATTAGCTACAGAGACACCACTTCTGCAATCCATCAGGTCATAGGCAGCTCAGAGGAACCTGCCAGCCTGCCAATATCTGTATATTAAGATGACGCTGGTACTTTGGAGGGTTCTCAGTTGGTACAACTGAGATCTCTACTGCCAGGATAAAATCTTAACACATGAAATTTAGGCTCTAAAGCACTCTTTTGTTCTATCTTTGACCCAAACTTTAGCACCATTTTTTTTTTTCCATTTTACTTTCTAGTATCCAAACAGAGGAATCAGGGTCCAGAGGCAAGTGAAATGTCTTAAACTTGCTGTCATCCTTAGTTTCTTCATTCATAAGTTTTGCTTCCTGCCCTAAACCCCGATGGCCACTGGCAAAGACTTTTATTTCCCAATGGATGAGAGTGACTCCTTCATCCTCTTGGTCATAGTTGGAATGAGGTTCATGTGGTCGCCTACACGCGTGGCCACACAACTATCCAGCTGCTATTTTACCTGAAGCTCCTTATTCCCTGCATCCATCAAATCTTTGGCTTTGTCGTTGCAATGCATCGTGCACCGGGCTAGGTGGTCCTGGAACTTTTCCAGTTCATTGGTCACCAAGGCCTGGGCCTGAGCTAGCGGTGCATGGCAGTGCTCGATGCACTGGTGCACCTGCTGCATGGACACCTGGCTGTCCTCACAGCAGTTGGCACTGCACCAGAACATGAGGCCCTGCACCTTCCGAATGTTCTCTCTCCACACTCTTCACCATGGAGTCCACCGCCTCTTGTACCTGGAGCTGCTGCAGCTCCACCATAGCTACCCCGCGCTGTGCTACGCCGGTGCCCACATGGCTGCGGCGCAGCCTGTCCTTCATTTTAATATGATATATTTTATTTATTTTATTGTTTGGTTTTTTGAGACAGGGTCTCACTATGTAGTTGAGACTGACCTGGAACTCACTGTGTAGCCCAGGCTAGTCTCAAACTCACAGCGATCCTCCTGCCTCAGCCTCCCAAGTGCTGGGATTATAGGCATGTGCCACCATGCCTGGCTAATATGATATATTTTAAATATGTTGGGATTGTATTGTCCAGTACAGTACAGCCTTGTAATGTCAAGGCCTGGAAAATCTGGTGATGCCATTGGTGTGGGTCCCGCTGGAGCACACCCCATCATTCTTCCTTACTTTTATAAATTTCAAAACTTAATATAAAACTACAGTAAGCAAGACTGATTCTAGCATAAGTAAAGACAGATAGATCAGTGGAAATTGTATGTTTGATAAGGGACCAGTACTAGAATATATGAAGAGTGCTCATAATGTAATAAAAGCAATAAATAACCCAATTAAAGTAAAGGCAAAAAGGGCCGGGGATTTAGCTTGGTGGTTCCACTGTCTGCCTTGCAAACTCAAGGTCCGAGTTAGATCCCTGGTACCAATAAAAAAGAGAGAAAGAAAGAAGAAAGAAAGGCAAAATACCTAAAAAAGACATTTCCTCAAAGATGTACAAATGGGCTGAAGTATGTGAAACAATGTTGAACATTGTGCGCTATCATAGAAATGCATATCAAAACCCTAATGAGGAGGCGGGGATTTAGCTCAGTGGTGCCACTGCCTGCTTTGAAAGAGAAAAGTCCTGAGTTCAATCCCTGGTACCAACCAACCAACCAACTAACCCTAATGAGACCCCACTCCACACAAGTAACAAGTGCCCTTGAACTCACTATATAGCCCAGGGTGCCCTCAGACTCACGGTGATCCTCCTGTCTCAGCAGGGATTACAGGTGTGTACCACTATGCCTGGCCCTTTTGGTATTTAAGATATAAGATAGTACTTTGGTTTTCTCATGATAGCTCAACAGGTATCCCAGTACTGTTTAATTGATTCATGCTTTCTGTCACCACTCTTATGTATGAAAGTGTTACGTATACTTGGATTGGTTTGAGTTCTCTAATTGTTCTGTTTAAGGTTTGTATTCTTTTGCAATACTATATTTTACTGTAGTAGAATAAGTACCCCTTCCTTAATCTTGTTGTATTTCACAATAGTCCTGGTGATTTTCACTCATTTTCTAATTAAAGTAGATTTTCATTCTTTCATAGTATAATGTGATCTATCACCCCTTGCTCACCCTGTTCTCCCAGTGCCCAACTAGAAGACCTGGGCTCTTGTCCTGGCCCCATCCTTTCTAGCTGTCTGGCCTTTTGGTGATTACTGAACATCTCTGATTTATTTCCCTCCTCTGTAAGACAGTGAGGATCCTACACATTTCATAAGGTTGTAAAGTTCAAAGGGGATAATCTGTATAGAGGCCCTTGGTAAACAATATAGACATATAAAAATACTTTTTATGGTTTTACTAAAGGGGCCAGTGAGCCCAGAGAAGTGCTAGATCTACTAAAGATTCCTAGGAAGCTAGTATGGGAAATGTCCACAACTGAAAGGCCGGCCCATGTCCCACAGCCTTCCTCTGGGCTCTGCTGCCTCCATTCCTGGGTGCTTGCTGAAGAGCCTATCTGGTCTTGGTATAAGTAGCTCCCTTTTATTGTCCCCTATAGGTTGTGAAAGGCCAGACCATTTCCCTGGTTCCCCCCAAGCTTCTGATTACCTGGAAAGGCCATCTGGAGAGTGTGGCAGATATCCTATATGTGGAGAGCTTGCAGCTGATTATCAGTGCTGGCCAGGACTGGGACGTCAAGGCTTGGAAACTCTCTGGTGATGCCATTGGTATGGGTCCCGCTGAGGAATTCCCCAACCCCTAGGCTTTCTTCTACCTGTCTCTGATGGAACACAAGCTGGCATGAACCTGCCCACAGAAAATGCCTTTGCTCAGATGCTATTACAGGGTGTGAATCCTCCATTCCTCCATTCAGCATTCAGTTCAGTATCTATTAGCCATTGATCTACACATTTATCCACCCTTCCAACATTATTTGCCTTTGAATTTTTGAAAATAGTATACCTGATTAGTTGTTCCTTTCTCTCTTTAAAAATAAATGTTAGTGCTTTATCATACATAAAAGCACACAAGCCAAAAGGGTTCAACTTTGTGAATTTTCAGAAAGTATACATGTATATCCACAGAGCCACCATCCATGTCAAGAAACAAAAATCATTCTAGGGGCTCCCCTTATCCCCTCCCCTGACTGTCACTGTAAATATTTCTGCAGGAGTAACTGCCATCCTGATTTCTGTATTCATAGATCAAGAAGGTATAGTTTTGAACCTTGTATAAATGAAGTCATTTGATAGGTTCTCCTTGTGCCAGTTTTCTTTCTCACATCATTTATTATGCTTGTGAAATTCATCCATGTATTGAGTGTAGTAGCTCATTCATTTTTGTTGAATGAATGTCATTATCTGTACTGTTGTTAGTGGGCATGGCGATTGTTTCCAGCTGTTTTGAATACTGAAAAATAATGCTGTTATGAATATTCTTATATGTATATATATATATAGATGAATAAATACATACATTTCTACTGGGTATTCACAAACCACAGGATGTATAAAGCCTTAATTGATGTTACCAAATGATCTGTCAAAATGAATACCAGTTTGCATTATTTAATCAGCCAGATGTAAGAACTCTCATTATCCTGTAATTTTGCCAATACTGGATATTGTCGAAGCCATCTTTTGTGCATGTAATGGCATCCCATTGTGACTTTAATTTGAATTACCATGAAGATATGGATGCTGAGTATTTTGATATGGATTCTGAGTATTTTTGTATTTATGGATCACTTGACTATATATTTTTTGTTAAGTTCTTGTTCAGACATTTTTTCTGTTGAATGATCTTATTTTAATTATTGTAGTTAATACTCTATGGGTATGAGTATTTCAACAGTTATACATTATATAGATGTCTCCTACTTTTCTGGTCTGCTTCTTATTGTCAGTCATATCTTTTGATGAACAGAAGTTCTTAATTTTGTTTTGTTTTGTTTTTTTGATATGGGGGATTGAACTCAGGACCTTGCACTTGCGAGGCAGGCGGCAGCATCACTGAGCTAAATCCCTGTCCCTAGAAGTTCTTGATTATAAGATGATCCCATGTTATTAGTCTCATCAGTTTTTTGCATTGTTTTATTATAGCATTCCCCCAATAAAATTGTCTTACTCTCTTAGGAAAATTTTAAGGGTCTCTTATGGTGAACCATACACAGTTATGCAGTGAGTTGATCTCTAGAACTTTTTCATCCTGCATGACTGATACTGTACCTGAACAATAACTCCTCATTTCACCCCTCTGCAGCACCTGGCAACCACTATTCTACCTTCTGTTTCTATGAATTTGACTGTTTTAGTTACCTTATATAAGTGAAATTATACAGTATTTGTCCTTCTGGGACTAGCTTTTAAAATTTAGCCTAATTCTCAAGGTTCATCTATGTTGTAGCATATAACAGGACTTCTTTCTTTTTAAGGTAAATAATACTCTAGAGGATGCAGATGCCATGTTCTCTTATCTGTTCATTTTTCAGTGGACACTTAGTTGTTTCCATCTATCGCTTGGCTATTGTAAATAATGCTGCAACAAAACCCAGGAGTTTTTCTTCACAACCTGTTTTTATTTTTATTGATTTTTTTGATAAACAGAAGAGAATTGCTGGATCATATGGTAGTTGTATTTTTTATTTTTTTGAGAAATTACCATACTGTTTTCCATGGTAGCTGCCCAATTTTACATTCCCACAAGGTTTTTGATTTCTCTTAGACGTTCTAATAGGTGCAAGGTAATACCTCTTTTTGGTTTTTATTTTATATTTCCCTGATGATTATTGATGTTGAGCATCATTTCATAAAACTATTGGCCATTTGCATGTCTTCTTTGGAGAAATGTCTATCCAAATCCTCTGCTTATTTTAAAATCATATTTTTTGGCTGTTGGGTTGTAGGAGTTATTTCATATTTTGGCTATTAACCCCTTGTTAGATATATGGTACATATTTTCAGAATGTGTCTTCTCTCTCCATAGATTGTCTTTTTTTCCTGGTTATTTCCTTTGCTACTTAGAAGCTTTTAGTTTGCTACAGTCCCACTTGTCTGATTTTGCTTTTTTTTTTTTTTTTTTGGTGCTTTTGGTGTTATATCATCTGTGCCAAGACCAGTGTCAGGAAGATTTTTCTTTGTGTTCATCTAGGAGTTTTATAGTTCTAGATTTTATGTTTAAAATTTTAATACATTTTGAGTTGATTTTATGTGTAGTTAGTGTAGGAGTCCATTTTGTTTCTTTTGCGTGTAGATACTAAATTCTTCACATTTTTTTGTTTGAGAGTTAGATTTTTTTTCCCTATTGCATAGTCTTGGCACCCTTCTCAAAGATCAGTTATCTCCTTTGCTTTGCAAGAATTTTTCAATTTCCAGTGTTTTATTTTTTGCTTTTGCCAGTGATATTTTTGAATTTCTATTCTGTCTTATTGATTTATGTATCTATATTTATGCCAGTACCAGACTGTTTGATTACTATAGTTTTATAATATATTTTGAGCCGGGGATCTCATTTGTAACTCACCTGTTTTGCAAGAGCAATGTCCTGAGTTTGATCTCCAATATAAAAAAAAAAAAGAAAAAGAAAAAAAAAAAGAGCTGAACCTTATATAGCATATTTTGAAGTCAGAAAATGTGTGTTTCCAGTTTTATTTTTTCTCAAGATTGTTTTGGCAATTCAGGGTCTCTTTGTAGTTCCATAGGAATTTTAGGATTTTTCTCTATTTCTGCAAAAAATGATATGGGATTTTGTGATTACTTTTTTTTGTTGTTTTTTTTGTTTTTGAGACAGGGTCTCACTATGTAGTTCAGACTGCTCTGGAACTCACTGTGCAGCCCAGGCTGGTCTTGAACTTACATTGATCCTCCTGCCTCAGCCTCCCACATGCTGGGATTACAGGCGTGTGCCACCACTCCTGGCTTTTTTTCTCTTTTTTGGTACTGGGGTCAAACTCAGGACTTTGTACTTGCCAGGCAGGCAGTGGCACCACTGAGCTAAATCCCCAGCCCAACTTTGGGATTTTGATAGGGGTTGAGTTGCGTTTATAGATCGCTTTGGGTAGTATGGATATTTTAACAGTATTATATCTTCCAAACAATGAACACAAGATATTTTTTCATCATAATATATCTTCTTGTAACGCATGTTCTAATGTTGCCTTAATCAATTTCCTCTCATATTTACTCACTTACCTGACACTTCTGGCTCTCTGTTCTAGGATCCTGTCTGTAATCACTTTCCTTCAGCTTAAATAACTTTATTTCTTATAGCGTTATCACTGATAAATTCTCTAAGCTTTCTTCTCAAAAGATCTTTGTTTTAAAATTTTAAGGCTTGGGCTGGCAATGTAGCTCAGTGGCACTGTGCCTGCCTCACAAGGTCAAGGTCCTGAGTATGATCCCTGGTACCAAAAAAAAAAAAGTTTTAAGGCTTAAAAAAGCTCTCAGTATTAAATTCACAGTTGGCAGCTTTTTTCCTTTCAATATTTAACAATACTTAACAAATACTTTCAATACTTAACAAAAAGTTTATTCAGTTAACTTTTGGCTTCCATAGTGTCTTAATTTTCTCGTTTCTGATACAAAACACCCAACATCCAAAGTTGGAGGAAAGGTTTATTGTCGCTCGCAGTTTGTAGAGGTTTTAGTTCATAGTTGGCTGACTCCAAGGAAGGGCGGCGTGTGGCAGAGGAGTGTCACAGAGGAGGAGCAGTCCACAGCAGGCAGAAAGCAGCGAAGCAGCGAAGTAGCAAAGGAGCAGCAGCAGCAGCAGCAGCAGCAGCAGCCGCCCCTCTTTCTGTCCCCTGCATTCCATCCAGGCTGCCCGCCCCTAGGGCAGGTAGTACTCAACCCAGGGCAGGGCACCTTCCCTCCCAGTATCACATCCTTAATCCCAGTACCACACATCCTAGCTCCAGCTCCCTCTAGAAACCCCATTTATGCCTGCACGGGGTCTTGAGGGGATATCTAGATATAAGCCATGACACATATGTTCTGTTGAAAAATCAGTTGTATGTTGCTTCTCTCTTTTTTTCCTGGTTTCTTTTGACTTTCAGCAGTTTGACTATGATATGCCCAAGTATAGTTTTTTTTTTTTTTTTTGGATTTATGTTAGCAGGAGTACACTAACTTTTTAAAAAATCTGTGGGTTGGTGCCTTTCATCCGTTTTGAGAATCCTGAGACATTTTCTCTTCAGTGTTACTTCTTCTCTATTCTCTTTCTTTTTTCATTGTAGGACCCTAGCTATATGTAAGATAAACCCATATGTCTCTTGTGCTCTGTTCTCAGCGTTTTTCCAATCTCTGCATTCCAGACTGGATATTTTCTTTTATCTTTTACTTTTTAAATATTTAAAAAATTCTGAGGCAGGGTCTCTTTATGTTGTCCAGGCTGGTCTTGTACTTGTGATCTTTCTGCCTCAGCCTCCCAAGTAGCTGAGATTACAGGTGCACACCACCATGCCTGGCTTCTAGACTAGACTGTATATTTTCTACTGACCTGCTTTTGGTTCATGATTTCTGTCTTCTTATGCATGCAGCCTGGTATTAAATCTGTTGAATGAGCTTTTCATTGCATTTTTAGTTTTAGAATAGCCAGTTGATTCTTTTCCATAGATTTCAACTTTCTATTGAAATTCTCCTTCCTGCCCATTTTCTTCATATTTTTATTTCACACTATTTATAATAATTGTTTTTGTCTGCTAACTCCAGTGCCTGAATCACCCAAAGGGTCTATTTCTAATGTTGGTTTATTCTTTTGGTTATTGGTTACATTTTCCTGTCTTTTCACACATCATATGTGTAAACAAAACAGTATTTTTTGGGACTTTGTATAAATGAACTATAGAGACTGATGTTGATATTATTTTCCCCCAGAATATTTGTTTTTCTTCTGATTAGAGCTGATCACCTTAGCCCAGCCTATTAATGGAGCTAGATTGTAGCTAGGTAGTTCTTTTTTTTAATTTAAACTTTTTATTTTTACATTTTAGATAAACACATTGGTAACATTCATTATAGGGGATTTGTATACACGATATGTCTTGTTTATTCTTCTTTTCCCCCATTCCCCTTTCCTCCCTGCAACCCTTCTTCCCCCTCCTTATTTATGAAAACTTTGGGTTTTTTTTTTCTATTTTTTTGCTTGTTCCTTCGTTCCTTCCCCCTGCATTGTTCTGCTTTTCATTAGAACATTTTCTTTAGTTTCTTCTGTCTTTAGTTGTCTCAAGGGTGAACTTTGTTGGGTCTGTTGTAGGCTTCTTCTTTTGGAGGGACTGTGTCTCTGAATGATCTCCTTTTAGGCCTGCTTCACAAGTCCAGCTCCTGTGCTCAGCACATCCTGTGGGACAGTCAGTACGTTTAGGACCCCATTAGATTCAGATCTCATGCTGGCCACAGTGGCTGTCAGAAGCTCTGCGGGTTCCTCTCACCTCTGAGCTTCCCTCTTTCTAAGCCAAGCCTCCTCCT